TTAATCTATGACTAGAAGCCAGAGGGCATCAAGGAAAGCGACTGTGGCATCCCTACCACATCCTTGCCACACCTGCACCCATGAGTTAATATGCTATAACTCAGGGCCATATGAAATATCCTTTTCATGCTAACTGTTTGCACAGGAAGAAAATTAGATAATTAAGCATAACTAGACCACAGTTTAGCCTGGCTACTTAAGAAAGCCATGCAGAACAGACATATAGAACTTTTTTTTTTTTGTATGTGCCCTTAGTGGGAACTGAACCCAGGACTCTCTGGTCCGCAGACCAACGCTCCAACCACTGAGCCAAACTGGCCAGGGCAACATATACAACTTTTTTTTTTTTTTTTTTTTAACATATACAACTTTTAAGTAATATTCCTCACCATTTAAACTAGCAAAGATAAAATAAAGATAAATCCTGGTGTTGCCTAAGCTGTGAGCAAACAGGCATTTAAGTTTATATATGTATAACTTTCAAAAATACGTGTTAGATGATAGAAATGTCAAAGAGATCTTTAGGACTACATATACTCCCCTCTCATTTCTCAGCTAAACTTTACATCCTGAGACAGTTTTGTAACTGCCAATTTATACCTCTTAATCCCTTCACCTTGCCCAAATCCTTCGTGACTGTCTAAGGTAGGCAGTGGGTTCCCCAATTTCAAACACACAGCCTGACACATGCTGGGCATTCAAAAACTAGATGAATAAGTGCATACCCAAGAACTAGGAGCAAGCCAGGCAAATTGTGGTTGACCAACAAGATACGACAGACGTTTAAGCTGCTGTCGAGCTGAAAGCCACATTAGATGAAAACGCAGAACCTCCTGTGAGAAAGCCACAGATCTCCTAGATCTCTGAAACAGGTCTCCCTTTGTTTGGCCTTAGTTACTCAGAGCTGCTTCACCTGTTCACCCTACCGCTGACCTTTTCCCACCTTTCCTCAGGCACCGTCTCAGGACACCCACAGGAACCCCTGCAGGCCGACTATCCTAGTAAACATACCTGGACTGTCCCCAGGTTAGTGCACACAGACTTACCCCATTGCAACGTCTGCTGTATGGAGGTCCCAGGGTTGCTGTAAGCAGTCACCTCTTGGAGAGGGGCATGTAGTTGTTTGCAATTTTCCACCAGAATGAAGAGTGCTGCAAAGAACAATCTTGTATAAGCATTTACCTTTGGTCTGAGACTATTTTTCACAATAGATTCCTAGAAGTGGATTTCCTGACTTGAGGATGCACACAATTTAAATTCTGATACTAGTTGAGAAACTGTACATGGTAATTTTCAAAGTCCACGTATTTGGGCTTTACCTGAGAGATCTGTTTATAATGCACAACCCTAACAAACAAGTGCTGGCGAAGATGTGGGGAAAAGGGAACCTTCATGTACTGTAGGAATGCAGACTGTTGCAGCCACTGGCCAGTTTTGCTCAGCGGTTAGAGCGTTGGCCTGCAGTCCAGAGAGACCTGGGTTCGGTTTCCGCTAAAGGCACATACCTCGGTTGCAGTTTGTCCCCGGCCCTGGTAGTGTTGTGCAGATGGCAACCACTCAATGTGTCCCTTTCACGTTGATGCTTCTCGCTCTCTCTCTCTCTCTCCCTCTCTCCCTCCCACTCTATCAGAATAAAGGATGGAAAAATGTCCTCAGGTGAGAATTAAAAAAAAAAAAATTGAAAATAGAACTACCTTACAAAAAATAAAACAAAATAAAAATAGAACTACTGTACCTTATGCCCCAGCAATTCTACTTCTGAACACTAATTCAAAAAGATATAAGTATTATTTACAATAGCCAAGATATGGAAGAAACCTAAGTGCCCATCAACAGACGATTGGATAAAGATGATGTGATATATACAGACATATATGCAAATATAGATATATAACGGAATATCACTCGGCCATAAAAAATGAAATCTTACCATTTATGACAACATGAATGGACCTAGAGGGTATTATGCTAAGTGAAATAAGTCAGAAGAGAAACACAAATACCATATGATTTCACTTATATGTGGAATATAAAAGCAAAAAGAAACAAAATAGAAACAGACTCATAGATACAGAGAATAAACTGAAGGTTGCCAGATGGGAGAAAAAGGAGAAGGAGTTAGGAGCATATATTGGCAGTTACAAAACAGTCACAAGCATGTGAAGCACAGCATGGGGAATATAGTTAATAATATTGTAATAACTATATATGGTGCCAGGTAGGTACTATACATACAAGGGTATCACTTTATAAGTTATGTAAATGTCTAACCACTATGCTATACACCTAAAACTAATATAATATTGAATGTTAACTGTAATTGGATAAAAACATTTTTTTTTAATCCTCACCTGAGGACATTTTTCCATTCTTTGCTCAGATAGAGTGGGAGGGAGAGAGAGAGAGAAAGAGAGAAAGGCACACATTGAGTGGCTGCCACCCACACGACCAACCAGGACTGGAGAACAAATTGCAACCGAGGCACGTGCCCTTAGTGGGAACCGAACCCAGAACTCTCTGGACCTTAGGCCGATGCTCCAATCGCTGAGCCAAACCAGCCAGGGTTGTTTTCTTTTCTTGCATCATTTATACTCCCTATACGCTTTTACCTTCCCCCACCTCCCTTTCCCTCTGGTAATCACTGTACTGTTATCTGCATCTATGAATTGTTGTTGTTTCTTACCTAATCACTTCACCCTTTTCACCCAGCCCTACAACCTTCCCTCCCCTCTAACAGCTGTCAGTCTGTTCTCTACAAAACAAACTTTAAAAAAATGCAAAATCCTGCCCAGCCGGTATGGCTCGGTGGTTGAGCGTTGACCCATGCATCAAGAGGTTGCCAGTTCGATTCCAGGTCAGGGCACATGCCCAGGTTGTGGGCCCAATCCCCAGTGGGGGGCATGCAGGAGGTGCCTAATCGATATTTCTATCTCTCTCTCCCTCTCCCTTCCTCTCTCTCTAAAATCAATAAACTAAAAAAAATATTTTAAAAAAGTAAATAAAACAAAAAATGCAAAATCCTGACACACTAACAGACTTGCTCTACCTCCCAACCCAAAGTCCTGAAATTGCTCCTAGGTTATCCAGCTCCCAATTGGCTCTCCTTCAGGCTAAAGGGAAAAAGGATCTGCTCCCTTCCATTTGCTCCAATACACCTCATCCAGCACAAGACTGGGGATGCACTGGCCTAGGGGGCTGCTGCTGGTGGCTTAATTTGCAGGGAAGGTCTCTAGGTTCAAGCGCAGGTCCCCAGTGGCTTCCCAAAAATGGACAGTCTGGCTCTCATGCACAATGCCTGGCACTAAGTGCCAGGGACAGAGTTACATCTCCAGGGTCACCTGGGTATACCCGTTTTCCCTTCCAGGCCCCCACCTTCTAAAGGTCCCACCTCACACATCCTGTTATCCTGGTGACCAGAGCCCAGTGATTTTATCCTTCTCACCTAAGATACCCCAAGCCTCTCTTTTTTCTTCTCGGAAGGCTGTGGATCAAGCACCACTTCCCCAAGAAATTGTTTGGGGCCTCCACCCTGGGCCTCAGTTTTCCCATCTGTGAAATGGAGAGCACCAGATAGTGGCACTGACACTTTGGGTGCTGCTGTGAAGAGAGCAGTGTGGCCATCTAGGTTTTAAGTTTGCAGGGAAATGAGGCTTTAATGGGGAGTCCAGGTGCCATTTAACAGCCATTTAATCAGCATTCTGATTGGCTTAGGGCCTGTTTGGAGAAAATTCTATTTTTGTTCTCAGAGTTCTCTGCTAAAGTGCAATTAAGACCAGCGGCTATTTCAAGGCTCCTGATTTCCAAGCTCAAGGGTCCTAGATGTCTGGGTCCAGATGAGGAACCATAGGCTCAGAAAAGGACCAGTTTTAGGCTGACTCTGTGCTGGGGAGATTGCCACAGGGTCTTCCCCCGCAACACACACAACAAGGTCCTAGGGGAGTTGGTCAGCAGGTGTTTCACAGTAAGTGGTAGAGACAGCAAAAACCTGGGAAGAGAGTGATGGTAGGAGGGTTGGGGAAGACCAAGGGAAATGTCCTGAATTTGAGTGTTGTGGGTATAGGACAAAGAAACTAGCCAGGAGTGCTGGGAGCTCCTAGATGTGTGGTCTGCTTCCATCTAGGGTCTGTCTCAATGGGGTAAAGGCCATGGCTCTGGCTTGGGTGTTGGATCCCACCTGGGCTGAATGACACTGGTTGACTGTGTGACAAGCAAGAGCCTCTCTGAAACTCATGGGCAAACCAGGGACTGATGTATAACAGCACCTACCCCAGAAGCCGGATTAGACAGGATACACCTTAAGTGCCTCTGAGTGTCCTTGTACAAACACTCCTTCCAAATTGGATGTTTTTACCTCTGGCCGCCACTTGTGTGGTAGACCTTGGGGCTACTGCATGCTTTGTGGTGGTGTCAGAAGGAAGCTTCTACCCAACTCAACGGGCCCTGGGGGCAGAACAGGCGTCGCAGTCAGAGCCGGGTTCTTACCAGCGGGGGGGGGGGGGGGGAGGGAGGTGTGTTAAACCCCGGAATAACTGGGCCTCAGTTTCCCCTGGGTGCAATGGGAATAATCACACCGCTGGCGGGAGATCCTGGTGGAGGGAGCGAATTTACAAATGTCGGAATTCACATCATTTCTCCTCCAAGCAAAGGCCCCCTCCCCCAGCGTGAAGCACACAGTAGGCGCTCCGGAAATGGTCGTCGAAAGGAGGTACGGGCCACTTCCTGCCCCCAAACGCTCTATCCCGAGTCAGGGTTCCCACCACTCCTCCACCGAGGCCATGTGGCATTCCTGAGGGTGGGGGTGGGCGCAGGAAGAAGGTGCCCTCCCGGCCCCGCCCCCTCCGGGCGCGGTGGGCGGGGCGAAGCCCATCGCCGCCGCCAGTACGCCCTGCGGGGGGTGGGCGTAGCTCGCAGAGCTCCACACAAAGTTTGTTTTCTCCCTCCGGGCGGGTGGGGGAGGGCGAGGAGAGCGCGGGGGGCGGGGGTTCGGGGGAGAGGGGATCTGACGTCAGGCCGCGAGGTGCTTTCCAGCCGCGAGCTGTCAGGCCGAGTGTCAGGCCCGGCAGGTACGCGGCGCGCTCCCCCAGCGCCCCCCAGCCCCCTGCCAGGACGCCGCGGACCGAGTCCAAGGCCGCGTGGACGGAAAAGCCGCTGGGGAAAGTCAGTGCGGGGCGCAGGAGCGGAGCAGATTAGGGGCGGGGGGCGCGCGGACAACTTGGAAAGTTTTTTTTCTGGGCCGGGCGGGGGAGGGGGCGTCGTCCCGGCGCGTGCGATTGTGGGTGTGTGAGTTCGGGTGTGTTTGTGAGTCCTGACCGCAGTGTGCTTGTGAGGGCCGGTAGGGGGTGCCCCACCCCCCGGGAGAAAACTCGTTCCGGGACCTTGTGGGGGCCCTAGCTCCCTGGGATCCCACCACGGCTGACGGGCCGCCCCTGGCCCAGCCGGGGTGAGCGCGCGGGGGCGGGTTTGTTTGACTTCAAAAGTGCACGTTGCTAACCGCCGACAGCCCCCCCGGCCGCGCAGCGACCGAGCGGGCGAGGGGGCCACTGAGAGTGACAGCTGCGGGTGGGGGCAGCGGGAAGGGCCCGGAGCTGGGAGGGCCGGGGAGCCCGCGCGAGTTCCCCTTTCCTTTGGAACAAAGGAAAGTCTGTCTCTGAGGCATCTGTCACTCCCAGACGGGCCAAAGAAGTGGGGCTCGGGGGGCCGGCGACCCGAAGAAAGTTTGTGTGCTCCGAGACCCTCGGGCAGGCCGAGCGTGAGCCGAGCCTCCTGCGGGGGAAGCACTCGGTCTCCGGGGTAGGGGGCGGCCAACATGGAGTCTGGGCGCTGGGCCGGGGTGGGGGGGCGGTGCGGAGGTGGGAGCCCAGCCCCCTCCTCTCCCCTCCCCTCCCCCTCTGGGCCGAGTTCGGAGCACAAAGCCGAGCGCGCAGGCTCGGCCGGCCCCGCGCCCCGAAGAGTCTGCCTGCGCCGAGCCGCGGGGGAAGGAGGTGGGAACCAAACTTTTTCCTGCCCCGGGACGGACACGTGAGTTTTCTTTCTTCCAGAGCCCCCGCCCCACCGGAGTGTGGGCCCGCGGGTGAGCTGGAGCGCCGAGTCTGACGTGGAGTGGGGGGCGCTGAGGGGTGCAGGCGCCCCCAGCGCAGGCCGATTCCCCGCTGCCCCGGGAGCCATGTGCTCCAACTCGGTCAGGGCCGCGGGGGAGGCTGCGCGCTTTGTGTGAACTGCGGGGAATGCAGCTCCAGTGCGCGGCTCGGGGGAGTGTCCGCCCGGGCTGGGGACTTGTCAGAAAGTTCGTGCGAGAGTGGCTGCAGGTCCGCGTCGTGGACCGTGTCGTAGGGTGCCCCGGGTGTTGTGTCGTGAGTTTGCTGTCTCAGGCCAGTTAGGGTAAGAACTGATGGCTGGTGTGATGACGTCTGGAGTTTTCCCAGTCTCAGAGATCGTGGGTGGGCGGGTCAGGTCGGTTGGAGTTCGTGGGTGGGCTTATATCCAGGAGTTGGGCTGGTTGTGTGGGTACCAGTTGATCTTGCTAGTAGTGGGATTTATTTGTAAACAGCGTGTGTTCTGCATTTGTCGGTGAGATTCATGGGGGTTCCAGGGTCTGAGGGACGAGTTGGTGCTGTTAGAGTTGCCTGGTGTGATTGTGGGTCGTTGTATGTGGGATGACCCACCGGATTGCAGGACACCATGGTGGAGAGGCCTGTGTAGACTGAGGGTCGTCTCTACCGGCCAACCCTGGAACCCTGCAGTCTGGAACTTGGCTAGCAGCCAGGGTGGAATTTGTACAGATAACCTTGAGTAAACTCACAGCCTGTCAGGGCTGCATCTCTGGGCCCAGATCCTAACTGCCCGGCCTGCTCAGCTTCAGATACCTAACCTCAGAAAGCACTCAGACTGTTGGTGCTCTCTGAGGAGTAGCACCTCTAATCAATGCCTGTCTCACCTCCAGGTGGCCTGGCTGGGAGGGTAGACCCTTCCCTCGAAAGCCTGGCCTAGCCTAGCCAGCCCAGTTATCTGGGCTCTGGCCCAAGTTGAGGAAACAAAACCTGGGAAATGCCAGAGTCTGTTGGCCCAGCCTGCTGGGGAACTGTTAAAAGGCTGAGGAGGGAGGAGTCTTGAGATTCTGGCATCAGCTTGGCCTGGAACTTTTGGTTTTAAAATGTAAATCTCTTTTGCATGTGTGAACAAGAAGTTTGTCAGGGGGCTGAGCCAACTGAGTTGGGTTGTCTAGGGAAACACCTTCTTTCATTAGAAATAGAGGCTCAAGCCCAGAGAGGGGAGGAAGGACATTTGCCCAAGGTTATATAGCCAGGTTGGAGGGACCAGAGCTCTGTCTTGCTTATTTGTTGGGGTTTTTTGAGGGCTTGATTCTGGATCCAGGCCAGGAGAGTCAGGAGCTAGATCACAGAGGAGAGTATCAGAGACAACCAGTAGGGGTGGCTCCACAGTTCTGTGCAGAGCACACAGTAGGTGCACGGTAAATGTTACATGGATTGCTGTAGGACTATGGTGACAGATTGTTTCCTGACTCCTCCCTGGGTCTTAGGAGACCTGAGAGGCAAGATGGTATGGAGGTAGGGTGGGGGAGCAAAGTACCTTGATCCAAACCCGCTATGCTATATACACTATATCCTGGAAGTGAGGGATTTTTTCCGTAGCAGCTTTATTAAGATATAATTCACATACTATATAACTTACCAGTTTAAAGCGAACAAGTCAGTGGTTTTTAGTACAGTTGAAGTTTAAACAACACGGGTTTGGACTGTGAGGATCCCAACTTTTTCAATAAATACTTGGCCCTGGCCAGGTGGCTCAGTTGATTGGAGCGTCATCCTGTACACCAAAGGGTTTGGGGTTCAATCCCCAGTCATGGCACATACAGGAGGCAACAGATCAGTTTCCCTCTCTCTCTCTGTCTCTCTTCTCCTCCCTCCCTCTCCCTCCTTCTCCTCCTTCCTCTCTCTTTAGAAATCAGTAAAAACATATCCTCCTGTGAGGATTTAAAAAATAAATACCCGTACTGCCTTCCGTCCATGGTTAAAAGTCCATGAATGCGTTGATCTATGCCATTTTATTAGGGAACTTGAGCATCCACTGATTTTGGTATCAACCAACCCCCCATAAACAGCAAGGGACAGCCACGTTTTGAGAGAGTCAAAAATTATTTGCAATTTTTTAACAGTGCAGGGCTTGGCGCCCCTAACTCCCACATTGTTCAAGGGTGAACTGTATATTCACAACTATGCAACATTGCCACAGTCAATTTTTTTTTTAACTAAAAACACATTTTTTTCTTTCTATATTGATTTTAGAGAGAGAGGAAGGGAGAGGGAGAGAGAGATAGAAACATCGATGAGCGAGAACATCAGTTGGCCGCCTCCTGCATGCCCCCCACTGGGGATCGGGCCCACAATCTGGGCAAGTATCCTGACCAGTAATTGAACCAGCGACCTCTTGGTGCATGGGTCGACGCTCAACCACTGAGCCACACTGGCCGGGCAACCAGTCAATTTTAGAACATTTTTATCACCTCAGAAAAACACCTTCATATCCTTTAGTTAGCATCCTTCTATCCCCACTTCCAGCCCATTCTGGGGATTTCATTAAAATGGAATTATATATGTGTTCCTTGTAACGGGTTTCTTTCATTTAGCATAATATTTTCAAGGTTCATCCACATTGTAGCATGGATCAGGACTTCAGTCCTTTTTATGGCCAAATAGTATTGCACTGTGTGGTAGATCTCATTTTGTTTATTCATTCATCTGTTGATAGACACTTGGGTTGTTTCTACCTTTTGCTTTATTGATTTTAGAGCAATAGAGAGGAAGGGAGAGAATCAGATCAGCATTGATTGACTCCTTTATGTGCCCTGACCAGGATCAAACCCGATACCTTGGTATATCGAGGTGACTGTCTAATCAACTGAGCTTCCCAGCCAGGGCTCCATCTTTTTTTTATCCTTACCTGAGGACATTTTTTCGTTTTTTGTTCAGATAACAAAAAACGGGAGAGAGAAACATCGACGTGAAAGGGACACGTTGAGTGGTTGCCACCCGCACGACCCAACCAGGGCCGGGGACAAACTGCGACCGAGGTACATGCCCTTAGCAGGAACCGAACCTGGGTCTCTTTGGACCGCAGGCTGACACTCTAACCGCTGAGCCAAACTGGCCAGGGCAAGGGCTCCAACTTTTGCTATTATGAATAATGTTGCTATAAACATTTGTGTGCAAGCTTTTGTGTGGACGTGGGGTTTTCTTTTCTTTTCTTTTTTTATCCTCACTCGAGGACATTTTTGCATTTATCTTCAGATTAGAGCTGGAGGGAAAGAGGGAGGAAGAGAGAGAAACATCGATGTGAAAGAGAAACATCGAGTGGTTGCCACCCACATGACCCCAACTGGGGCCGGGGACAAACTGCAACTGAGGTAGGTGCCCTTAGCAGAACTGAACCTGGGACTCTCTGGTCCGTGGGCCAACACTCTAACCCCGGAGCCAAACTGGCCAGGGTAGGTTTTCATTTTTGGGGGGTAGATACCTAGGAGTGAAATTACTGGGTCACATGGTAACTATTTAAGAGCCATGGTATATTTTTTTTTTTGTAATATGTCTTTTTATTGATTTTTTTTCTTTTTTTAGAGAGGGTGAGAGAGAGGGATAGAAACGTCGATGTGACAGAGAAACATCAATCGGCTGCCTCCTGCATGATCCCTATTTGGGGATCAAGCCCGATACCGGGGCACGTGCCCTGACCCGGAATAGAAACCCTGGGTCCTGTCAGTCCATGGGACCACGCTGAATCCACTGAGCCACGCCGGCTGGGCAGAGCCATAGTGTCTTAGGTGGCTTTCTTAATCTCCCTGGGCCTTGGTTTGCTCATCTGTAAAATGATGATAATAGTAGTGTTTCCCTTACAAGGGCTTTGTGAGGATTTAATGAGATAATAAATGGAAAGTGCTCTGTACAGAGCATGGAAAATAGACCTCAGTGGCAGCTGTAATTATTGCTAGTCTGGTGCTACTTATGAATGAGCTGTCTTTTACAAGGAACACTTTGTAAAGTATATGATTGTCTAACCACTATGCTGTACACTTGAAAGTAATTCAAAATAATATTGAATGTAAACTATAGTTGAAAAAATTTTTTAAATTAAAAAAAAAGCTGCCATTTAGTTCAGTAGTCATCTACTGAAATAGAGGCATTTTAGACTCGTCCCCGTGTAGCTTACCTAGGCTGTAAGACTTTGAATTGCAAGTTCCCCATAATTCTTGTGTCCCAGGCTCTAATAATGGTGTATTTAGAGACTAGGAAGAGGCCGAGAGGCAGTGCATGGTGATATCCTCATCCCCTTTGTCACTTGTTCCAGGCTTGCCTGAGGTCCATCTTAGCCCCTAGACACCATGTCAGACAGTGATCTGGGCGAGGATGAAGGCCTCCTCTCCCTGGCAGGCAAGAGGAAGCGCAGAGGGAACCTGCCCAAGGAGTCGGTGAAGATCCTCCGGGACTGGCTGTACCTGCACCGCTACAACGCCTACCCCTCTGAGCAGGAGAAGCTGAGCCTTTCTGGACAAACCAACCTGTCTGTGCTGCAGGTAAGGAGGGGGTAGCAGGAAGCCTGAGTTCTAGTCCTGTCCCAGCCCTGCCACTGATTTCAGGCTGTGTGGCTGTAGGCTAGTCACCTCCCTCTCTGGGCCTCAGTTTCTTCAGTTAGGTGAGAACAGCCAGTCCCCCTGCCTTAAGGGAGGACAGTGACATGAAGTCATTGCAGCTAGAGTTCAGATTTTTGAGTGTTCTGAAGAGGCAAGGAATTGTTATTAATGCCTAAGTGTCTCATTAACATTGGAGGCCGTGGGATGGTGAGAATGCATCAAGTGTCTGGAGTTTGGCCCTGCCCCAGGGTGTTGCTTGGATGGTGACTTGGTTGTAGGGGACAGCTGGTGATCTGCAGGTGGTTAAAATTTAGTTGGAATCACGGTCAAGGAAAGGGCAGAAGTCAAAGATTCTGGGTTCAAAACCTGGTTCTGCCACATAGAAACTGTGGATCACATCTCGATTTCCCCATCTGTAAAGTGGGGGTTACAGTCCTATCCTGCTTTGACTGAACTGTTGTGAGGAACAGATTCAGAACTGGGTGTGAAAGTGCTTTAATCACATTCAGAAGATCGTATTATCCACTTTTTGTTAAAAGTGCAAGATATTATCTTCTTTGAATTGCCTCAGTTGCTGACATACAGGTATTTTGTTCTGTTTCCATGGTGCTGAGGCAGGACACCCTGGTCTCTGCCTTGCCTCCAGTTTGGCTCTCAACTCCCTGGGAGACACAGCAACAAGGCCTCAGCCTAGCCAAGGCATGTCCCCTGCCTCCCTTTCCACCTCTGTGCTTTCGTAGCCCCTTTCTCCAATCCACAGTACGGTTTCTTCCTCCTTCCCCTACCCCACTGTGAACCTCCCAGATCTTCCCTGCCCCTGTCCCTCCTCCATCAAGTCTCACGGTGAGCACTCAGTCCCCAGAACTGTTACCTGACTTACACTCGCTGGGCAGCGGTTAATTGGAGTCTGCCTAAGAGAAAGGCTCTAGCGTTACAGATCCTGACTCAGATCCCGTCTTCCCCACAAGAGGAAGCCTGGACCTTGGCCATGTCACTGCCTCCTCACTGAGCCTCCTCTTTGCCCTTCTGGAAAAGGGAGGCGGTTGTAGCGTTTTCGCGGTGTGTAAGGAGGAGGGATTGAGGAAAATTCAAGGCTCACTGTGAGCGGTTTGAAACAGAGTGGGTGCTTTTACTCTCCTTTTCATCCTCATCTCTCCTAGATCATAGGCCTTGGACTGGCCCCAGGTATCTAGCAGCTCGTGCTGAGCAGAGTTGAGATTCCAGAGAGGAACCAGACTTAATCCTACCCTCAAGGAGTGTAAGGAGTGTATAGTCAGGGATGGAATAGCAGGAAAGACTTGACCACTAATGTTTGCAAAAAGTGATCACTGCTGGGACGGAAGGCAGCAGAGGACCAGGGCAGGGCTTCTGAGCTACCCTGGAGCCTCATAAGGCCTCCCAGAAGAGGTAGATTTGAACTCACAGGCCAAAGTCATGTATGGAGCCTGAGAGCCAGTATTATCTAGACGGCCTCTTTGCTGGTCTTCTCCAGCCTTGTTCCTTTAGTCCATTCTCTTGAACACTAAAGTGCAAATCTGATTGGGTCACATACTCCACAAACCCTGTTGACCTTAGGATAGAGTCCAAACTCCTTAGGTACTTAGCCGCCTCATCTCAGTTCCTCAGCTTCTTGAGCCATCTGGGCCTTCAGGCCTTTTTCCTTGGCTTCTTTCTGACCTTTTTGAACCTGGCTGACGCCATTTAAGCATTTTCTTTTGAAAGCATCTCTGATTCTCCCAGCCTAGGTTTGAGGCCTCCGCTGTGTATTCCCACTGTGTCTCATACCTGCACTGTCAAACCACTGGTCACACTGTTTTGAAACTGCTTTTTGTCAGGGACACTGTTTCTCAAATCTGAGTAATGTACCATTTCCTTTTGTTTTTTAATTTTTTATTGATTTTTAAAAATACATATTTAAAAAAATTTTTTGGGAGAGAGATAGAAACATCGAGGTGAGAGAGAAACATTGACCTGCTGCCTCCTGCACCCCCCCCCCCCCCCTTACTGGGAATGTGCCCTGACCTGGAATTGAACTGGGACCTCTCAATCCACTGAGCCATACCGTCCGGGCTGTACCATTGCCTTTTAAAGAAAATATTATCACGTCACTTTAAGCATGTACAAACTGAGAACTGGGTAAAAATGTCTTGCTTTAGCTCTCATACACAACTATGAAACAAACCGTTTTCTGAAGTAAGTGAGGGTAAGACCGATGGGATTCCCTCTAACTGCATGACTGTAAATGGATGGTGGTGTGCTGACGGGGCTGTGGCGTGTAGTGTGACAGAGGCCACGTGCTCTTACTCATACTCACAACACAAACACAAAGCCATGATATTTTTGTGGAGAACTGTTGGACCCCTAGGTTGGCATATCCCCAGATCCCACTTAGAGAATTGTAGGTTTGGGGCAGGGATTAGCTGGAGACACTGACAAAGGCCGGGTTCCGGCCCCGTGGCATCCCCTGGTGGAAGGGGTCCAGTGGCCCTCCTGCACCAAGTCCTGCTGAGAGTTAAAAAGCAGTGGGGACCATCTGGCACTCCTTGATGGAAACTGTACTGTGGATCCCAGGCATACACCTCTGCTTGGAGGTCTCACAGGCACCTCAAGTTTCCTGATTGATAACTGATAACATCTCCAGGCTGGCTCCTTCCCTTTCCAAGGGTTCCCCTTGATAGCTCTTTCTCAGCTGGTGTGGTCAGCCACCAGTCCCCATACATACCCCTTAAATATTTCTGGGATATGGCTTCTTTTCTATTTTGGTCCAACCTATCATTGTCTGACCACTTGTCACCCCTCTCCTTAAAATTAAAACCCTTCAGTGGCTCCTGCCAACCTAATGACACCATCACCTGTCCCTGTCTGCATGGCCAGCTTCATCCCTGGCACCATATTTCTGTCCCACTGTACGATGCCCTAGACCTCTTTGCTCCCCGCCGACCCAGGGAGACTGCAGACCCTTGGAGGATCTGTGCCTTCCCACAGCCCTGGGACTGGATCAGCATTTGGACCCTGGACTGTAATTGCTCTTTAGAACACACAAAATTCCAGGGGCCTGGTCTCATTTATCTCTATATCCCAAGTATTTAGCACAGTGCCTTGTATTTGGTAGGTGCTCTGGAAAAAATTGTTGAAGTGACAGAAAATGAAGATAAAGATAACGCGTTAGAAATGTCAACAGGCAGGACCTCAGAAGTAAGGAAATGTGGCTCATCAATCTGGAAAAATGGGCTTAAGTCCCTGGAGGGGGTCTCTTTTTCCTGTACTTAATTTTTAAGATTTAATTGTTTATTAAAAACATTTGCAAATATCCACAAAAAAAGAATATTCTAATGCACCCCTGGTACCAATCACCTGGCTTCAACAAGCATCAACATTTTGCCAAGGCTTGTTTTCCTATCTCCCTGGGGACATCTCTTTTGATTGTCTCTTTTAACCCCCCAGGAGTGATCTCATTAGCAAGTCAATGAGTCATTTAACTAACTGGTTTGCTGGTACTTGCCCAGGGCTAGGCAGGTGGGACGGTGAGACAAACAACAAAAAGTCATTTGTGAAGGATTTTTCACTGGTCCCTGTGGCCTCTTCTGAGCCTGTTTTATTGCTGTGGTTTCTGACAGGTCTAAGGGCTGTCTGTTGGAGATGGAAGGTAAACTTGGCAGGGAGGTTCAGGCCCCGTGCTGTGCGCTGGAAACAGCGGTAGAACTGGAACTGTTCTCCGAGGGAGGAAAGGAGGGAGGACTATTTAAAAGACTAAGAATTTAGCCCTGGCCCACTTGGCTCAGCGGATAGCGTGTCAGCCTTTGGTCTGGAGAGATCCGGGTTCGGTGTCCGCTAAGGGCGCGTACCTCAGTTGCAGTTTGTCCCCGGCCCTGGCTGGGTTGTGTGGGTGGAGACCACTCAATGTGTCCCTTTTGCGTCGATGTTTCTCTCTCTCTTTCTCCCTCCTACTCTATCTGAACAAAATAGCGAAAAATGTCCTCGGGTGAGGATTAAAAAAAAAAGACTAAGAATTTAAAGTAATTAATTACCAGTGCCGTGTCTGTAGGAAAGGCTTCTCTCAGGAAGCAGCATTTGAATGGGGTCCTGACATACTTGAAGGAATGGGGAGATAGGGTCAGCAGTCCCTTGGGTATGGGGAACTGGGCACGACAGGAGCCTGCTGTAGTGACCTGCTCTGTGGCAAGGTGTGGCCTCGAGACCCTTTATCCTACTCTGCTCTCCTTACTCTGGCAACAAAGCTAGCGTGTCTCTCGATTCTTCTACCAGCAGTCTGTCTCCCCACCTCAAGGCCTTTCATTTGCATGTATATTTTTTGAGCTCTTGTGTACACTTTTTTGCTTAAAAAAGAGCTTGGCCTACAAGGACAAATTAAACCATCGGTTCCTAAGCCTTGGTGGCAGAACTCTGGGGAGCTTAGAAACACATATTCCTGACCCCCAAATTAGCGAAAAATGTCCTCGGGTGAGGATTAAAAAAAAAAGACTAATGTAATTAATTACCAATGCCATGTCTGTAGGAAAGGCTTCTCTCAGGAAGCAGCATTTGAATGGGGTCCTGACATACTTGAAGGAATGGGGAGATAGGGTCAGCAGTCCCTTGGGTATGGGGAACTGGGCAAACAGGAGCCAATCTATAAAGCAGATGAGACAGCTAATCTTTCTTTTTTTTTTTTTTTTTTACTTGAGGAAGAAATAAAAAACATTGATTTGTTGTTGCACTTACTTATGCATTCATTGGTTGATTCTTTTTTATTTTTTTCTTTATTGGTTTTAGAGAGAGAGGAAGGGAGAAGAAGAGATAGATAGAAACATCAATGAGAGAGAACATCAACTGGCTGCCTCCTGCATGCCCCCCACAACCTGGGCATGTGCCTTGACCAGGAATCAAACCGGCGACTTCTTGGTGCACGGGTCAACACTCAATCATTGAGCCACACCGGCCAG